GAGAATGGACTTCCTGCGAGAACATGGCCAGATGCACCCGCGAGGGCCGCCACATTTTTGTCCTTTTTCACATTTGGAGAGTGGTGTGGCGAGGCCCTTCACCTGTCTCCTTTCACTTTCACTTCACAAATAATGTCAGGGGCTGACAGTGTGCCTCGTTGGGGGAAAAATAGCGTCTTATCCGAGCTCAAAAGCCTGCTCCATCATCCTTCAGCATTTTGAAAAGTTGGGTTCTGCTATTTGAACCGCCAGTTCACCCGAAGCAGAGTAGAGGAGTGCTCTTGCCGGTTTACCCACTAAGAGCTTTTCTACTCGGGCGTGGGCGGCAGGCCAATTTGAAAAGCGGCAGTTGAAAAAAAAAAAAAAAAAAAAAAAAAAAAAAAGCTCGCAAACCTTGGAAGGTAGCTTCATCAACTTAGGCCTGTGGGGGTTTTCTTAGGCCGTGTTAACTGGGGGTTTTCTTAGGCCCGTGTTCACCGGTGGTCTAAAAGGGAAAAAAAAGGGTCAGCATCATCGAAGCCCATAATCCTTCAGCGTTCTGAAAGCTTGGGCTCTGCTCGTTTGCAACCACACTTTGACCTCTCGAGTTTTCTTCCTTTCTCCTCCCCCCCCCCCCCCCCCTTCTCCCCTCTCTCTCAGGTCTCCTCTTCAAATGAAGACTCGGCCTTGATATCCGTGATATAAGCCCTTTTTGAGGGATGAGAAGCGCATTCGGCAAATACCCAATCTGTGGTGAGCATCCCAAGAAATACCCCTTTTTAGTGCTGATAAGCGAAAAGGGATTCTTTTCCGGCCAAGACGCCACCTTTACAGCATTGGAATGAAATACACATGAAGGCGCACGCATAGACAAACACAGACACACACACACACACACACACACACACACACACACAGAGAGAGAGAGAGAGAGAGAGAGAGAGAGAGAGAGAGAGAGAGAGAGAGAGAGAGAGAGAGAGTTTCCAAAGGTCTCGTGAAACAATGACAAACACAAGAAGTGGCTCAGACAGGTTCGTGGCGTCCCATCCGGTAGAAAGGCCACGTGGGCAATTAACGTTAGCCGAACTGTGGTTCGTGACGAGGAGAGGTCCGTCTTCACCGAAAAGGACGCCCGGTCATTATAGCTGTATTCGGGGCAACAATTTTCATAGAACCTCTGGTCATGACGCTGTGTCTAGACTGAAAATTGCTGGGCCAAATACGGCTATAATGACCGGGTGTTCTACTCAGGTGAAGACTGTAGTAACCGGAAGTTAAAAACCAGAAGTGGTAGAGGCTAGACTACCAGCCGGGCCGCCCGGGTCCCGGGTGGCCAGCCCGTGCAAGGACCAAGGACGGTCCCAGCAAAAAAAAAAAAAAAAAAAAAATCTAGAAACTCCGAAAAAAAACTATGTTATGCAGAAAAATAAATTGAACAACTTTTGCCTGAGGGTCACGTCGAAATTCTTTACCAAATTTAAAATAAAAAATAAATTTCAAAAATATCTTATTATTTTTATTACGTTCATTTTTATTTTTTTTTTGGGCCCGGCCGGGCAAGTGACCCCAGGCCACTCTGGTAGCCTAGGGTAGAGGTCTAAAGTCACTCAAGTTGAGCCTTCCAGTTGATAATACTTCTTTTTCTTTTTTTTTCTTTTTTTTTATTCGTCACATCTCATTTCATTACAGTAACACTTCTTTTTCGATAACATTTTATTTTATTTTAAATTAAGGCTAATTCTTTTAAGGCCACCAATTCAGTTAACTGTCAAATCTGGACAGGACGGCCTTTTCCCCACAACCGTGTTCAACCGGGGAACATGCGGGATGAAGAGTTTTTTTTTTTTTTTTTTTTTTTTTTTGCGGGATTAAGTTGAGCATGTTTGGGGGGGCGAGGAAAAAAAAAAAAAAAAAAAAAAAAAAACAGAAGAAAATTCTGTTTCAGCCTGTTCGAGCTTTTCCAGCCTTAAGCAGAGGACAACTGATGACGTCAGCGCCCAACCTCAGCCAAAGTCGAGCGGGGGCCGCTCCCACCAGCAAATTGAATCAACTACTTTGTCGAGAAACGCCATGCATTCCCGAATATGGCGACAAGGAAGGAATCTCTCTTGCCTAACATTTCAAGCAGTTGCTGTAAAAGTTCAACGATAGTTCGATTATAGTTCGACTATCATTCAACTATCGTCCAACCATAGGTGAGGAGGACATACCGCTGAGCGTGCTGTAGAGGACGCTGCGAAAAATAGCCCCAGATTATAATTAAAAAAAAAAAAAAAAAAAAAGTCCCAGACTGAAGGTTTCCTCCTAACGAACTATTTACTCTCAACGGCCAGCGTTCAAGCTGCTGCTGCTGCTCTCTCTCTCTCTCTCTCGCTCGCTCGCTCGCTCGCTCGCGCGCGGGGGTACGAGAGCACGTGTGGGTGCGCGCGCGAGAGTTTGGTACACGTGTGTGTGCGGTTTGGATATTTCTCGCGTTTCCAGCCAAAGCACTTCACACGTAGTGTCTTCAGCTGCATCTCAGGCGATTTATTTTCATTCCATTCTTCTTTCTTTTCCCTCCTCGTGCGAGATTGTATAGCTGATCAATATAGTCGATTCGTTGATTGATTGGGAGACTGATTGATAAATAAGTCAATCGGTCGCTAAAGTTGCCCAAAGAAGACACTCAAGAGAACATAGCCAAGGAGAGGACCAGGGAGCTTGCATTTATGCTGTTCTGGCGTTCGTGCTTGCCGTTTTCTGCGCTTGTGCTGTTTTCAGCGTTTTTTCCAAGCGCAAAGGCCGAGCCGAACGAGAGAGAAAGTCAGTCAACTCAGCACCGCACCGACACGTGCTCGTCGGCAGGATAAGAAACCAGCGAAGTCTGAGTCTCCCCTGAAGCTTCGCTTTCAGGAATAAAGGCAACACTAGAAAACAAAGGCAACACTAGAAAACAAAAGATAGCAGTGGAGGGAGGCAAGTGTCGTAACATTGATTTTTCTTGCGACTGAGGCCATACTCATCACACTACGGGTGGACTTTCCTGGATGTATCTGACCGCTTTCACTCTCAGGTCTGGATGCACCTGACCGCAATTACAGCCACAAATCAGTTGAAAAGGTCCTCTACCGTCTTCACCCGACTACAGCGTACGGTCATTATTCCTGTATCTAGACTCAAAGTTTCCCCAAATACACCAGCTATAATTAACCGGACGTTGTATTCGAGTGAAGACGATAGTCAGAGTATGACCTGAAGCCCCCATCAGACAAGGTCGCGGACTCCATTTGGAATGAAAAACAATGGCGGAAATGTGTCACAAGAGTCAACGAAACGTATCCAGCAAGCCAGCAAGCCAGTACACCCCGCATGGAGTGTGGAGAGGAGAGAGGGGCGGGCTTCGGCGGCTCTCTCTCTCATCCCCGACAGGGGCAGAAATGGAGGGGGGGAAAAAGAGCACAAAAAACATAAGTCGCCGCCCGCAGGTATCGCTCGCGAGGAACTGCCACGTGTCGCCAAGCTCCGTCATTCTGCGTGCCAGAGGAAGGGAGGGCACGTCTTTCCGCGTCGCCTTCGACGACAGCGGTAGCCGTCCGTAACGAAGAACGAGGAGGAGCGGGAGAGTGGGAGGAGGATAGAGAGGTAGGAGGACGGGCGTAACGGAGAACGAGGAGGAGCGGGGGAGAGGGAGGATAGCGAGGGAGGAGGAGGACGAAAAGTCCTTTGGGACATGCTTTAATATTGGAACGATACAGAGAGAGAACTTTAGCATCGTCCCTGCGCAAGGATGGCACGCATATATCGAGACGAGAAAAGTCCAATGGCACAAACCATGAGCCTACGTCAGCTGGTCCACACCACGAGCTGTTGGAATACAGACCATGGGTGGACCAAGATGTTCGATTCCTGCTGGAGCAGGCTAGACGAATAAGATAAAATACTTTCGAATTACCTGGGGTGGGGCCGGTCAGTTCGGTGTTCGGATCTCGAGGCCGCTCGCTGCGCCTCCTATCAAGAAAAGAAAAGGGGCCAAAGAAAAAGGTATAATACCGATGATCTCTGGCCCTCTGGGATCAGTGGCCAAGCTCGAACAGAGAACTATTCCGCGAGTGATGAGTTAACCCGGCCGGTGTACCCATATGCCGGAAAAAATCCAGAATGGGAGGAGGAGGGAGAGGTAGAGAGACGATTGCAGCGACGGTGCCCAAGCTCGAACAGAGCAAGTCGGAGGACAGGTCACAGGGGGGAAAGAGGACAAGGGGAAGAAAAGGAAAGGGAGTGCTAGAGACCTAGCCAACATGTCCGTTGCTGCTCCAGAGGTTCACGTCACGTGGAACGGGGCAAAGGCTACCGTAGCAATCAACTGCACACAGCTATTGGGAGCAGTCAGCCGTTGACTGTGCTCTCCACGGAACGGCCGACTACTACGGTTGCGTTACTTGCGTACACATGTTGTTGCTACGCACCGCCTTCCCCCGAACAGAGCGCACCGTCATCACGACTTGCAAAGTGCCGAAAGGATTGTTTTTTTTTAATATATACATTCATAATAGTGGCTGGGTGGCTGAAGGCATTGGTTTGCTAAATCAACATACACCAAGATTGTATGCACCGCCGGGGGTTCAAATCCGGCTTCCTCCGCTCCGGGAGGAGCGTAGTGCAAGCGGTAAAAGGCATGTTTTGCAAGTTGTACGAGCAACGTGCATCCCCGGCACAGCGGAGTCGGGGCTTTTTTTTTTGGGGGGGGGGGGCAACGAGCATTACATGTGCTCACGTATATTAAGATGCTTGGTGACCGTTGGTGGGTAGCGTTCGGGAACAGACGGCATGAACCAATGGGCCTAGCTCCGGGTACACCTACGAACTGCTGAAATACAGACCCATTTTCGAATCCGGATGCAATCAGAGGAACAGAACAAAGTCATTCTGAGTTACGTGGGGCCCGTCACGGGCCGTCAGTTCCTTGATGATTTCTCCAGTCCGTCCGCATGGCTTGTCTGCATTCGAACTGAGGACGCGTTTGGTTTCCCGGGAAGGGGGGG